ACACTCAGAAGCAAGCATACAAACACTCACTCAACACAATCAGAAGCATCCACGCAAAGCAAACATGCAAACATGCAAACACTCACTTAACACGCTCAGAAGCATTCATGCAAAACAAGCACATAAACGCTCAGTTAGCACACTCAGGAACACTCATGCAAAGCAAACAAACACTCAACACACTCAGAAGCATTCAAGCAAAGCAAACAACTAAACGCACTCAGAAGCATTCATGCAAAGCAAACAAACACTTACTCAACACACTCAGAAGCCTTCATGCAAAGCAAACAAACACTCACTCACTCAACATTCTTATGCAAAGCAAACATACTCAACATAGTCAGAAGCATTCATGCAAATCAAGCACACAAACACTCACTCGATACACTCAGAAGCATTCGTGCAAAGCAAACACACATACACTCACTCAACACACTCAGAAGCATTCATGGAAAACAAACAGAGAACGACACAATCATTCAACACACTTCATGGATAGCAAACATTCAAACACTCATTCAATACGCTCAGAATCATTCATGCAAAGCAAACATCGGCCTTTTTCTTTCTTTCTTTACATCCAGTCCCATTTCGCTGCCAGACCTCTCCATCTATCCAGGCTTGGCACTGGCACCGGTGGCTGGGTTATGACAGTCGGGACAGTCATGCAACACAGGCAGGAATATCTGTGCAATGCAAACAGAGAAATAACCTTTAAACAAACACAAAACATTCATGCAGTACAACACTCATGCAAATACTCACTCAACACACTCAGAAGCATTCATGCAAACCAAACACTCAAACACTAACTCAACACAATCAGAAACATGAAAAGCAAGCACACTCAGAAGCATTCATGCAAAACAAACATGCAAACACTCACTTAAGACACTCATAAGAATGCATGCAAAGCAAACACATATACACTATGGAAAGCAAACATTCAAAGCAAACAAACACTCAACACATTTAGAAGCATTTATACAAAGAAAGCACACAAACACTCACTCAACACACTCAAAAGCATCCATGCAAAACATACAAACACTCACTCAACACACTCAGAAGCATACATGAAAAGCAAACAAATACTCACTCAACACGCTCACTAGCATTCATGGAATGCAAACAAACACTCATCACAATTAAAAACATTCATGCAAAGCAAACACACAAACCCTCACTCAAGACACTCGGAACCACTTATGCAAAGCAAACATACTCAACACAGTCAGAAGCATTCATGCAAATCAAGCACACAAACACTCACTCGATACACTCAGAAGCATCCATGCAAAGCAAACAGACAAACACTCACTCAACACACTCAGAAGCAATCATGGAAAACAAACACACAAACAATCATTCATGCAAATCAAGCACACAAGTACGCTCACTAGCATTCATGGAATGCAAACAAATACTCATCACAATTTAAAACACTCATGCAAAGCAAACACACACACCCTCACTCAAGACACTCAGAAGTATTCATGCAAAACAAACAAACACTCACTCACTCGACACACTCAGAAGCTTTCATGCATAGCAAGCAGATAAAGACTCACTCGACACAGTCAGAAGCATTCATACAAAGCAAACAGAAAAACACTCACTCAACACACTCAAAAGCATTCATGCAAAGCAAACATTCAAATACTCATTCAATACACTTAGAACCATTCATACAAAGCAAACAGACAAAGACTCACTCATTACGCTCAGTAGCATTCATGCAAATCAAACACACAAACACTCACTCGACACAATCAAAAGCATTCATACAAAGCAAACAAAGACTCACTCAATACGCTAATAAACATTCATGCAAAGCAAGCACAGAAGCACTCACTGAACATACTCTCCTGAGTATGGTAAACAACATTCAAACACTCACTCAACACACTCAAAAGCATTCATGCAAGCACACAAACACTCAGTCAGCACACTCACAAGCATTCTTGCAAAGCAAGCAAACACTCAACACAGAAGCATTCTTAGAAAACAAACAGACGTAGACTTACTCAACACACTCAGAGGCATCCATGCAAAGCATAAACACAAAGACTCACTCAGCACACTCAGAAGCATCCTTGCAAAGCAAATACACAAACAGACAGACACTCACTGAACACACTCAAAAGCATTCATGGAAAGCAAACACACAAGCACTCACTCAACACGCTCAGAAGCTTTCATGCATAGCAAACAGACAAAGACTTACTCAAGACACTCAGAAGAATTCATTCAAAGCAAACATCGGCCTTTTTCTTTATCTCTTTACATCCAGTCCCATTTCGCTGCCAGACCTCTCCATCTATCCAGGCTTGGCACTGCCACCGGAGCAGTCTGCTCGACTCCCCGGTGGCTGGGTTATGACAGTCGGGACAGTCATGCAACACAGATAGGAACATCTATCGAATGAAAACAGACAAACACTCACTCAACACACTTAGAAGCATTCGTGCAAAGCAAACAGACTAAGACTCACTCAACA